AGGGTATTCCCAAGCACAGAAAAATAAGTTAATTATTTTAAAATAGGATCGCATACCTATAAATATATGAAATAACAGCTTTTCCTGATTTAAAGGTATACAAACACACACCCCACAATTATAATTTTAAAAGTCATTTAAATTATTTTAATTCTGTGAACACCTCTTAAAATGGTAAAGAAATCGAATGATCATTGGTAGAATCTTTTTTTTAATTCAAGTTTAAAGATAGATGATGTCAAATGCCAGGCAGGTGAGCTGGTCTGCATCAATTAAAAAAATATAAATTTCCAGGCAACTGAAAAAATACTTCTGAGGACACTTGAAAAAAAAAAAAAATCCTTCTGAAGATTTCACCCTCCCTACTTCTGCATTCTGAGTCTCCCTCATGCAAGTTTAATTTATGCAGTGATAGATATCCTGAGAGATGGAAGCTGTATTATAGACATGGAGATAAAATAATCCCTAAATGAGAAGAACCAGTTTGGTCTCAATAACACCATACTCAGCACTGCAGGTAAAATCAACCTCATTAACTTCGCTAGTTAGCATAAATATTAACTTTGCCAGTTAGCATAAATATAACCTTTCTGATTAAAGTACTAGTTTGTCAGAGAATCAGTCTCTCCCCACCTGGGTAATAATCCAATACAATGTAATGATAGTTTTCCCGAGAAAGGAAAATGATCTCTTCATATACTCCCTTCCAAAGCAGAGAGGCAACTCTCTGGCCTAAGTTCTTGTGTTCGTGCCAGCTCATCTTTCCTGAATCAAAGGCCAGGTCACATTAAGATTTTGTTCTTCAGCTTTCCAGCAAGGAGATACAGAACACCATGAAAAATGTCGTATTGTGGGGCCTTTCAAATGAGACCATGGAAACTCAGCTCCTGTTCACCAATTATCTGAAATAACCTAATCCTATAAAAAGCTAAATCATCTGGCAAAGTTCCTGAAACCCCATTCCACTGGATTTCAGCGCTGAGTTATGAGTTACCATAGCTTGCCAAAGACAGACCATGCTCTCAGGGCACCTTTTCAAGCCCTCTTGCCCTAGTCCTACTGCAGCCTAATTTGTGGCATGTTCCTCAGATGCTTCCAGAAAATTCTAAGGTGCAAAGGACAGAAGAATTGCAAGGCACAATCCATCTTTTGGCAAATACAGTGGAAGGAGCCTGCACGGTCTTTACACAAACAGGATCAGTTTTCCAGAAACAATGAAGGATTCATGTCTGGTAGACTTCCAAATTTTGGCCTTGTATTTCAAAAGCATTTTTTGCAATAATTCAACATGTAGCTCTACACAACAGATAAGATCCCAGTTCTTCACAAACACAGCTATTCTGCATGGGACAGTGAAAGCACTTGATTTTTATTTAAACCCACCAGCCCTGACTTCCTCTACTCCTCACTAGATGCACTCTGCACTCAGTGCAGAAATCCATAAAGATCCTTTCCTATGGAATGGAAGTGGTGGGTCCAGCTGCAGACATAATGAATGAGTATTTGTGCTTGAAGTAGAAACTGTGCCTTTTTGAAACAAAGCACATTGCTGCTTCAACTAGCCCTACCAAAACGAGATTCACAGAGTTCTGCCTCAAGGAGAGAATATAAGGGAGAATAAATGCAGATGACAACGATCAATCAATCTCCTTGCTCAATGAGCTACCAAAAACGTCCTTTGAGATGGCAGCAATAAGGGCAAAGCAGGGCTTCACAGATATCAGAATAGATGTGTGCATATATACATGTGTGTGTGTATTTAAAATAAATTTCTTCTTTTTATGCTCTTTGTTCAACTACATTATCAAAAAGAGGTTTTAAATACAAGCTTATGGGACTACTAAAGAGGTGAATTTATGAATGTATTCCTAACAAAACACACTCTGGAAAGCTTTAATCTATGAATTGTGACAACCTTGGACAAAATGGATTTTTAATAGAATATAATGTAAACTGCCTGAAACATTGTGATAAGGAATATTTTTAAAGTAATGCACAGACAAGGCATGATGCACTCTGCATGAAAGGAGGAAAGGTCTTAATTTAAAGCATTTTAATGAACACTCAATTTGCGTAGGGAAATGTGAGAAATGGAGATGAAAAAGTCATGATAACGATAACACTGCAGAGGGGAGAAGGAGAAAGATTAGAAAAGTAAGCAAATTTGAAAAGGCTCCAGCCGATAATGCTGGCTAAAAGGAATGCAGACTGGATTACGAACATGTCACACTCCAAAGCCACTGTTCTCCTTGCAGGCAGTGTCTGTCGGTGGCTCTTATCAGAGTTGCACACTGGGGAAGAAAGAGCAACCGAAGTGCAAAGCAGTGGAGAACAGACCTCTCTCTGAGCTAAGGGCATCAAGGAGAGTCAGAGATTTCAGCAAATGCAGCTGGGACTTGCTGGAGTTTCTCACTTTCACCAAACCTCCCAGAGCTGCACCAGCCCAGTTGGCTTGCAGGGCTGCGGGACTTTGTCCCCTCGCAAAGCCCAAGGGACATTGCAAAATCACAGCACACCCAGCGATCTCTTCCTCGAAGAAAACTAGTTGGGCTCAGGGGCTTGGTCCTGGCTTATCCGCTTCACTACTACCAGCGGAATGCAAGGCAAGTCAGCAGAACTGAAATTATTTCCAAGGGAGAAAAACCTCCCCCAAGGTAGTTACGATTCTGTTTACTAATAGCTTCTGCTCTGCAATGAAAGAGATTGATCCTGCACTCTCATTCATACATAAACTGCCTTTAATGAAGCTCCTTGAATTACTAAAAGGAGGAACAGATGGATCAGGTCTAGTGACAGTTTTGCTACATTGACCTTTATCGAAGTAAGTTCAGGTCTCTGCTTATTTAAATGAAACAGCAGAACCCCCACATAAAGACTTCACATTCTTCAAAAGAAACAAGAGGGCCACCATTATGACCAAAACCACAAATTAAAATAAAGATCAAAGTTAAATATTTACTCTAAGCACTACAATATTTACAAATCGGGAAATGATCTTTCAAGCAGTTTCTATTTGCATACTTTAATTAATCCAAAAATATTAAACTAATCTCACAAAGGAAAGGGTCAAAGTATTAATTAACTTGAGATTCGTTGCTTTTGTGCAATTTAACAGTTCAACACAAAGCAAAATTCACTTTTAATAAAAACTAAGTTACTGTGACAGGTATAATTTCATGGATTAGTGAAACCACGTACAAGGCAATAAGTTCCAGTGTTCATCCTATTTTTGTCTAACTTTAAAAATGGTTGTTTCATTTCAATAGAGAGATTCCTCTATAACACCAAATGAAGTTAAGTTTTTCTTTAACCTCAGCATTTCATTTTCAAATGGATGGCTTTCCACCTTGCTCTGAACAGAACAGAGGTCACCGTTGTTTCAGCAAAAGCCCTGACTGCAAGGTTCAGGAGAGAGCAGGCACTGCACAACCCCCCAGGATCAGCCGCCGGAGCTAATTCAGGCTGAGATTTCCCTGCTGGAGCCATCGTGTGTCATCAAGCAGCTCCAGAACAAGCACAAAGGTTCCCCTCTGAGCCAGCGTTTCTGCTGGCCAAGCTGTTCCCAAACCAAAGGGGCTTGCTGGTTCTTTAACGGCTTTTGGAGGGACTAGGAAATCTTGCCCAAAGACAAAGGATTTGGAGACAAAGCATACAGCATCAAATCCAGCTGCCAGAGCTCTGCTTTATTAGTACAAGAGCCCATGAAACCCCAGAAAAATAACGATGGAAGGTGGCTGGAAATTCCTACATCACAACCTCAGAACTGTGATTTTGACAAATGTGCTTAGGAAACAAGAGGGGACTCCCCCACACCTCCTTTTATTTGGTTTTTTTTTTTAGATGGGGAGCAATTGCATGAAGCAGCTAATGAACTGAAAGGTTTGCCTGGCGTTTCATGCCAGAAAACTCTGTAGCACTTGACTTAACCAGAGACACTGAGCAGGGAATCACCTCCCCTCACTTCACACGTTTACAATGCAAATCTCTGCGTCCCACTCAGTCACCTCCACTCTGCAGCTTTACTGGAGAGAAACAGGCACTTTTTGCCTGCTATTGATCAGGTCTGTTTTACACATCCAAGAGGACTCTCATCCTAACAGTGCCTATTTATCCCTGTTGCTAAAAAGCAAACCCATGGATAAATAGCTTTCACCTCAACACTTGTATGGCAGGTACCCAGAACTGGATGGGATTCATTTGTTCCTCAGATACAATTTCAGAAACTAAGCAGAGCAGAAACTCTCTTTGTACTCCAAACCTCTAGCACCAATATTTCTAGGTCTAAATAATTATAAACAACCCTTTTTTTTCCTTTGCAGAAGCTTCCAGAAAAACTCCTCACATAAAAATTTTGTCAGGAAATTTTGTGATTTCCTAATTCTGATACAATTTCAAGCTAAATTTATGCACAGTGTACTTTAAATGTAGAGGAACTGCATGATAATGGAGAGAAATTGCTTGTATTGTAAAAATACAGAATTCTGGCTAACAATGTAAATTTCTCATTACCTTTGATATAGCTTATGGGAGCATTACCATAACAAACACACACAGCATTGATGAGACAGTTCATAGACACTCATAAGTGTTTTGCAGCAATAAAGAATAACACTTAATAGCTATTACTTTCATAGCTTTTCAAATAAAGAAGACAGCATTGTCCTATATTACTCTCAATTATTCTTCATATTTCTCTATTTTAATCCATTTCTTTCCATTGGGTCTTTGGCCACAGGAATTCTGCTGCCTTCAAGGTGTGTGAAAAACAAACATGAGCCTGCACTAGCTAGCTGCCTCCAGTTTAATTAGAACATCCACTTCCAAAACTCAGAAGTGAAACAAAAGGAAAAAAAGGTCTCAACGGATCACCTACAGCTTTTCCAAGGAGGCTGAGAAGAAAAAATGCTGCTATTAAAAGAGCAATATGACCCATTAAAGAAGCTATTGTGTGTCTTAGCAATTTCGCAAGGGTTAACGCACAAAAGCGCTTGGGGGCTTACCTGTTCTCTGCGCTGGGGTCGTTGTGCATACAAGTGATGGTGGCCGTGGACTTCGCGCTGTCTGTCTCTTCTTGGACCCCCCACTGGTCTGCATCACTGACTCTGATGTCCATGATCTTCACACCTGGGGCTGTCCTAATTCTGTTGGGGAACAACAGGGATTACTTTAGTTACAGATCTCCTGCAAATAAATCCAGAGAGGTAAACAAGGAAGATGAAAGAGGAAATATTCCCTCTTCCATTAGTAACAGACTGATAGATTGCAACTGTAAGTCACTGTGCTTTAAAAATATAAAACAGGTCCAATCATTTTAAAGAGATGAAGTATGAGTTTCATTATGTGCAAAGCCAGTTAATTTTCAGCTTGAACAATGTGGAGAGAATAAGAATGCTTTCTGCTTCAGTGGCACCAGTTTGATACAAATGAAACAGATGTGACTAAACCTAAGTTGATTTAATTTGTTGTGTCTGTCCTGCAGTTTAAGATGGAGAATCAGAGCACTGTGATATAAAATACATCCGCCTGCTTGCAAACCTTTGGGACCAAGGTGCCTTCTAATATTAGGATGATCTGCATGGAAAAACTGTGTTTCACTGCTCAAATACCACAATGTAAAAAGGAAAGAAAAGGAATAAGTTATCCTAGATTCAGGACTGAGGGATGAAAATAATTATGGCACTGTACTGGGATCTATCAAACTGGGCAGGTCAAACTCTTCCTACTGAGAATAATATGATGCTGACATGGAAAACCTTGATTTCCTAAGCATGGCTAGAGTCTGAAAGCAGTTCAAAAGTTGGTAAATGTCACTATTCTCTGGCTTAAAAAAATTGCTAAAAAATAAGTCCACGCTCCAGTGGGGCTCAGTGTTAGGAACAGATTGCCAAGGCATAGGAATCAAACTGCTTTTAATAGCAGGGACTTCATTTGTGCAGCTTGACTCCTAAAACAAGCCTGGGATTTCGACAGGAGTGCTGCAAATATGCCTGGAGAACAATTAGGCAGAAAGCAACTGCTGTAGCGCCACGTTCACCACTACTGTGACTTAATTAATTAAAAGCAAAGCCAAGAGGGACCCCTTAGTTGTATGGTGGAATGCAACAGCACTGCTGAGACTTGAAGCGTTACTTAACAGTGAATGGTGATGGATTCGCTCTGATGCCTCGTGGCCTCGTGGTGCTTATGTTACACTATTAAGAATTTCCTTTAAGTTCTACCTGAGTTCATGGGTTTGGATCAAAGTTACTTCAAGACTCAATGGGTGGTCTTTTCCTCTGAGAATGAATTAATTAATTCTGCTTTTATGATGTCCTTATTTTTGCCTTTAAGGCTTTCCTGACTTGATGGACCAAATTCATGCCTGGCATAACCAACTTCAAAAATGTTTCCTGTAAGGAGAGGAGTTCACTTGCTATTTTTCTAATTGTCTCCTTCATGTTTCTCCACAGACATTCATATCTCCAAACAACATGCCTCAAAGCTTATGTGCCCCCTTCCTATCATCTCCTCTTCTTTTTTCAGAAGAACATTCATTTATTCTGTAGTAATTACACGGGCCCGAATCATTCCTGCAAGACACCTACATGGCTTCATTTCAGACTGACTTGTAATTTACATGAGATAGAGAATTAGGCCTTCAGCAACGGATTCAATAATTTTTTTCTTTAGACTTAGTCACCACTCTTGGAAAAAAATCATTAGGGCCTGACAAAAAAAAAAACCAAAAAAAAAAACCAACAAACAAATAAACAAAAACCCAATCACCACTTCTTAAATTTTCTCTTTCCCAGCCAAAATTATATTTTTTTAACAAATTCACCTACCCACCACCCCCTCAACTTCCCATGTTTTTTCTTGACAACGTCTCTGGAAACCTCTAACCTGATTTTCCACACGAGTCAAAGCCCTGCTTAATTAAAGACTAATTGAATGGCAGGAAATGCTGGGCAGGGAGAGGGGGGAAGGAGGGCAGGACAGCTGGATTTCACCCATGATTTCAGGATTCATCAGCCTTTTTCCATCTGTCAGAAGCTTGTTATGTCCTCCTACACAGCTTTTGCACTATGGATATCTTCACTCTGCAGCATTTACTTTTTTCTACTCTGATCCAAATCAAGCATGTTGATTTACCCCATCAAGGATGAAAAGGAACACAGCATAATTCCCTGCCACACCTGAGCAGGCTTCAACCATGCAGGAACCCTGTGCAGCTCCTTCTTCATGGAAGCTGAAGCTGCTGCTCCTCTTTACCCCCATCACTGGTCCCCACACAGCACAGGGGTAAGGATGCAAGAACCTCAAATATCCACATCTATCTAAACGTCTGGCTGTTCCAACCTCTCCAGACATGCTGTACCCCAAAACACTGGCACGCCTCTCGGGGCAACCCCTCAGCCGGGTCTACCTTCCTCAGTCAGGGAGCTTTGCTGTTTCTTCTCTTGTGCCTGAACACAGCTATGGGATGCTCTTTGCCTGTCTGGACAGCAGATGAGACTCTCCCAATGCCTGTCCTGTTGGCTCACCACTTGGCTTCCCCTTCAGGGCACTGTCCCTTAACAGGAGGTGGTCTGGTTTTTGGCAATGCTGTCTTGTTGAGGGTGCCTACAGCTTTTGCTTGCTGCATATCCACTGTCTTGCTGGGTGAGCATCAAGTGAACATCACATACCCTGCTCCCCAGCTACATTTTCCAAAAACGTCTCAGAACGCTGCATTTTAGGAAAATTTCCAGTCTAATCCCCTGCAATGCATCTGCTCCGGTGGGCTGAGGCAAGATGTCATTTTGCATTTTTGGATATCAGTAGAGCCAGAAAGGTTGAAAAAAGGAAGAAACTGAATTCAGCTTCTCACTTAGGAAAAGTCAAGAAATTCAAATTAAACCAGCCTACATATGGGAGGTTTGAGCCTACTATTCTTCAGATAAGTGATTCATATCTTTAAGTCTGCCCCCAAACTCCACAGGCACAAAAATTGTTGTAAGTGTTGGGGACTGAGGCTTTGAAAAAGAGTAAGAAATTCTTATCAGAGTTGACATTAACTTGAGAAAGGATGGTGAATGGCCAGTGTGTGAGCCCAGGAGCTGGGTTTCTTACCCTGCTCTGTGCCAGGCTTCAATTATAAGCTTGGGTGGATCATTTAATTTTGTTATCACTCCCCCACACATAAAATACTGGGAAGGGCTGCTCTTCCAACTCCAAGGGAGCTGTAAGGATAAATAGAATTGCTCGAGAAACATCTGATGTCCTTTAAATTTATCACTTGACAACAATTCTGCCATCTCTGGGCTTAAAAATGTGGAAATTATCTACTGAAGTATTTCACAGAAGCATCACCCAAGAAGTAACTGTTACCATTAAAATGGCTTAATTCCTTTTTTATAAAAGTAATTGTGAAATGAAAAGGGAAAAAATGGAAAAAAGGAACAAAACATGACAGCCATTGGAAATTTGGCGAAACTGACATTGCATTTCCATTAAATACTTGCTTTCTGAAAAGCAGAATTTTCAGACAGAAAACTGTCCTGTTAAAAAGCACGTGACCAGCTTTAAAACATTACAACTTACGTGGCATTTTGATAACAATTAGCAAAGAATACTGTGAGAATACAAGACAGGAATACTGAAGGAGCTCACCAGAAGTTAACCTGCAACAGGGCCCCCACATTACAGCCTGTATCCACAGCCTGTATCATAAATGAGGTGATCACTATTTATTCATGATACTCTCTTATTTAGGGGTGGAGGAGATTAAACAGAAATGTGACGCCCTCAAGCACTGCCTTTCATGACACTTGTGCCCATAAGATCTTAAGAAGAGGTATGGGGGGGAGAAGTACCAAAGCTATTCAGAACAGGGAATCAATGAAACAACTGTTTCATGAGTGAATTTAGCCCTCTTCTCCAGCTATAAATGCAGAATAGAGGAAACTGTTTTCAATTTAGGCTACAGAATACATTTGGTATCCCTGGCGGTGTTTTTTCCCTGAACAGAGTGTCCTCCATTTACTGCGGAATATAAAGATGGAAACATGATAGACTGAATGGAGCGGGCAAACAGAAGCACCCCCAGCCTGCCAACTTGGAACAACCAGAAACTATTTTAAAATGCAATCCCAGCCTTAAATGTATGCGACCCCGTGAATTTGGCTGCTCTAAACCTCTTCTTTCAGTTATTACAACAGAAGGAAAGGAGAAGGTACAAGTAATCACCAGGGCTGGAAAGTAACTTAAGGGCTGCAAGAGGGATTTAAACAGCCGAGCACTTAGTGGAAGTGGGGCAGGGACTTCCACTGCCTCCCAGTCAATTAACTGCAAAATCTGAAAGGTAAATGCTCGCTTGCAATACACCCCCAGCAACACTCCCGGCAGCAGTAATTGGGAAGTAAAATCTTGGCAAAAGGAATTTTAAAATAGAAACAGAAGGAAAAGATATTTAGGAAATAAAACAGGAATGTGCTCACAGCAGATGGAAAATGCTCAAAATGATGAGAAAAAAGGCTTTTTCAGAGCTATTTTAGAAATCCTCTTATCTCTCTTCTCCCTCCTCTCCCCCCCCATTATGGGGGAAAACATGATCTGAGCTAAATTCACTCTCAATGACGTACTAATAATAACGGTTATGATAACAAATTTCATTTGTAATTTGCAACCATTTCTATATTCAGCCCTTCAACATGCATGTTTAGCCCAATTAAAAATAAAATCATTATCCTTCCCCTACAGGAAATCCAAGCTGTAGGCCAGTTTATTTAACTTGCCTAAAATTATACTGTCTCTGCAGGGCCAGAATGAGGGTAGATACATCCTGATTCCCAGGCTTACACTTTGGCTAGACACCCCTACCCATCTTTAAGACCTAACCAGAGCAGAGCTGAGTAATTCTGAGCCCTCACAGAGCATTTTACATATTTGAAGAATTGCACAAACAGCAGGCAATTAGTTCTGAACAAAGTCCCTGGGGAGTTTCTAGTTAAAATACATGTGTTTTAAGATACATTACGCCAAGCACTATAAATTAAAATAATCGCTGAATTCAGACAAACATCTGGGGACTTTTAGGATGTGGGCTAGATGGGCAATGTTTCAATATAGGAAGGAATAGAAGCATCCCTGTGTAGGAGGAAGCAAGTGGTGTTTGCTGAGA